GCATGTATGTATTTGAGCGTGATGCAACATTCTGCTGAAAATACAGGAGATGAAAAACACCCGCCAAGATAATAACGATGGTGACTTTAACAAATAAAAACCCCCAGACAAGTAATCAGTGCATTACTATTTGAATTTGATGTAATGTAAACTGACACTTGTGAGATCTCAATCCAATGTTTTCTTTTGGAGCAAGACTGTAAGCCCAAATAAGTTGAGCCCTAACGTTACTAAGTCTTGGGAATATCTGATATTGTTAGACTCATTATTTCTTTTTCAGAATTAAGGGTGGTTGGAAACGAAAATTAATTTAATCATGCAGTACTACTAAATTTAAGACGTGTTTCTGTGCCTGTCTGTACAAATCTACTTTTAATTGTTACCAATACACTGTGTTTCCACACACACACACACACACACACACACACACACACACACACACACACACACACACACACACACACACACACACACACACACACACACACACACACACACACACATACACACACACACGCACACATACATACACACACACACACACACACACACACACAAAAACAACAACACGAAAACACTTATGGTTCCAGACGTCATTGAACAGTGTTTTTTTCCTTCTGTGCATATTTCGCTTTATTCATCTTCTTAGAAACGCGAAGACAAGCACACGAAGTTGAGAGCTTCAATGAAAGTAAACTTGTTCATCTGAGCAGCGTAAACATTAATTGAAATCAACCTTGAAAAAAATGATATTTTCTGAATGCTTCCCATCGATTTCATCGCTTCTATTTTGGGCATATCCCACATCAATGTTGTTGATCTAAAGTATTTAGTAGCTCAATGCATGTCATCATGCTCCTGCCCCCCCCCCCCCCCCCGGCCCCCTTACCCTCTTCTCTCTTTTCCTTTTGTCCATTTAAAAAAAAGAAAAAAGAAAACCAAATGACAATCCAATAAAGCAACAAAAAAAGCAAAAAAACCCCAACAACAACCCCAAAAAGAAACAACTAACAAACAAAAAGGCAGACAAACAAACAAGCAAACAAGCAAATAAAGTCACTCAGGATAACCCTCACCCAAGACACAAACACACACACACACACACACACACACACACACACACACACACACACACACACACACAAACACACACACATGCAGGCATACACAATTCCTCACACTCAGCCAAACACATACAATCAAAGAGGTGTGGCAGCTTGTACGAAACCAGAGCTCTCATGGGATGTTTTGGGGTAGATTGTCGTGGCTTAATATTCTTGACTGAGCTCGCTTTTCGTACGATAAAATGTCTTGGCAACACGATTTCCATGTCCCTCACTTCAAGAGAACATTTAACTTTTTGACACGTTAGAAAATGGGTTTTGCTAAAATGCAGTTTATCGCCAGCCCGCTCCATGAAGCACACGTTTTACACAATGGAGACAAAGACAAAAGAAACTCGTCAAAAGAAATAGAAGTGGCAGTCAAACTAATCACACACCAGCATCTAGCTCGATTTTCCGTAAAAAGAAATTATCCAGGAGGAAACTGGCAATTTTATAATTTCATAATGATAATTAGTCACGAAGCAATCCTTTTCTTGTTTGACAGATATGACATGTGGCCACGAGGGAGACTAGAGGGTGGGTTTGGGTGGGGGTGCGGTGGCGTTGCGGAACCCAAATGTACATAACAGCGGAAAATGAGACACTTCTCGAAATATAAA